CTCCAGCTCGAGTCTTGGTGTGGGAGCGTGGAGATCTGTCTGCCTGGACAGGGACTGGATGGATTAGCAGGAGTGGTGTCAGCCCAGAGAACTAAGGCCAGCCTGGGAAGAGGCTGCTTGGGGCTCAGGGACCCTGTGGAAGCAGCAGGGCTGGCGTCTCTTCCCACTGTGATGTCTTCCCACGTGGGCCGGCTACCTCAGCTGTGCAGGAGCCAGCCTCCTTGGAGCAGAGCTGCCCAGTGCCTGTGGGTGCCTGCAGGTGCTTGGTAAACAGCCAGGCCCAGGATCCTTTTTTTTTTTTTTTTTTTTTTTTGCACTCCAGGCTGGAGTGCAGTGGCTTGATCTCAGCTCACTGCAGCCTCTGCCTGCCAGGCTCAAGTGATTCTCCTGCCTCAGCCTCCCGAGTAGCTGGGATTACAGGTGTGCACCACCATACCCAGCTAATTTTTGTATTTTTAGTAGAGACAGGGTTTCACAGTGTTGGCCAGGATGGTGTCGAACTCCTGACCTCAGATAATCCACCTGCTTCAGCCTCCCAAATGCTGGGATTCCAGGTGTGAGTCACCGTGCCCAGCCCCAGACTGCTCTTAAAATCATCCCAGGACACAGATGGGGGTCAGGCCGGCCTCACTCACAGGAGAGGTCCCAGAGGGAGGTCACAGAGTCCAGGCCCACAGAGCTAGGGGGCTGCTGGGTCCCCTTCCCACTGCAGGACATGCAGCAAGGCTGGAGCCTGGGGCAGGGTTCCCCTCACCCTGAGGCTCACATAGCCCACCCAGCCTGGTTCAGCGTGGGTATAGCTCAGGCTCCGGGGAAGGGCGGAAGTGGACAGGCAGTGCCCTGGGGCTGCACTCCTGAGATCTGTTGGTACCTTGGAAAGGTTCTCTGCTTGCTGTCGTCTGCATGTGCCCCGTAACACTGGAAGGAGTGAAGAGGCTGTAGAGAAAAGTACTGCGTTTTCCTTTTCCCTCCTTCTGAAAGGCCTGGGCCCTGGCATGTCTGTCCCCATCCCTGTAGGCCACAGCTGTGTGCTGGCTCTCCCTTCCCTGCCAAGGTAGAAGCAGTCTCCGTGTTTCAGGCTGTGAACCGGACCTCTTGAGATACGTGCTGTAAACGCTCCTTTATCCTGACATCCCGGCCCTCAGTGCCGTAAAGCCGCTCTTCCCCACTAGCTAGCCTTTACGTAATGGAGCACAATGTATTTTTATTCTGTCCTCTTCACAGCTGCTTCCTGTGATTCCAGGAGGAGGCAGGTGTGGGGCTAAGGTGGTGAGGGGGTAGCTGTTCAGGCACCAGTGTCATGGATGCCTTTGGCCCCCTGCGACGCCCCACTGGGCCGCACCCTAGGCAGCCGCCGCCGCGTCCTCTCTGACTCCCACTTGAACACCTGCTGTTCTCCTTCCTCTCTTGCCCCTCATCGAGGCCTTGAGAACCCATCAGCACCAGGCGTGTGCCCCTTCGTCCCTGCAGGGTGGTAGCAGGTACCTCCTAGAGGTAGCAGGGGTCCCAGGGGTGTGGAGGAGGGGCCCGAGGAGGGCCGGCGTCCAGGCAGAGGGGAGCTGCTGCTTCCTAGGCAGGTGCTCCTGTTCCGTGTGGCCAGAGTTCAACATCCCCGGGCAGGGAAGGTGGGAGCCAGGGCTGTGGGTGGGCTGGGCTCAGGTCCTCCTTACAGTTTGGCTCTAAGCCTGGGGTGACTCTGGAGGCCAGTGGGGAGGGCCTAAAAGCCTTGGTGGGGCCACCCCAGAGAGCAGGGCTGCAGAGCTGGGCTCCATCCCTGAGCACCCCTGGCACCGCAGGCCATGAGCACACAGCAGGCCGGGCTGGGCGGGGGACGGGGGCCTGGAGCGCTGCAGGCCGCACCACTGCCTCGCCTCAGCCCATGCACTGCTGTCGCAGGTCGGGCCTGAGAACAGCCTGGGCGGTGCCTCTGTGGTCCTAGGGCCAGGGTCGGGCACAGGGCTGTCGCCTCTCACCCTGGGGGTCTCGGCCACTGGCTTCTGGGGTCTCTGAGAGGAGCTTGCCCAGGATCCAGGTCCACAGAACCCCGTCCAGAGGAACCCCGGGCTCCTGGCTCACTTTGGAGGAGACCACGTGAGAGCAACCGGCAAGAAAGCAATGACATCTCTGAGACAGAAAACCCATCTTTTATTTATTTTATCCAAACCATTGTGTGAATTATTCATTCACGTTTATGTAAGCCACTGAACTACAGGGATAAAGGGGGGTCAGAACGCTGGCTTGATCTGCCCCAAGCTGAACCGACTCCGTTGAGGCAGCCTTGTCTGGAGGATGGACCCTTCCCTACCTCGACTGGAGACCAGGGTCAGGGCCCCCTCGCTTCCGAGGGTCTGTGTGGCATGGAGGACGGACCCTTCCCCTCCAGGGCCCTGGGTTTGGCTGTCAGAGGGCGAGAGAGTGGCCCCAGGAGTGAATGCGGCGGTCCCCGCTGCTCCCAGCTGTATGGGTGGTGATCTTGCCTCTGAGAGGGGGCCTCACACACCACCTTCCTCACCCTGGGACCTCATGCCAACCTGCCATGGGTGGGCCATGCAGCCGGGAGCCCCGGAGCTTCCAGAGGTCTGTGAGCGGCACAGGCGGCTTTGAGGTCTATCAGAAAACAGGGCTCTTTCCTCCTCCAAGGTCAGGCTGCATTTATTACCAAAATCTAATTCTTCCCCTTTGGACGTCTGAGATCTATCAAAGGCAGCATGGGCCGTGTTAGAGTGAAATATGGCCTCTGAAACGTGGTCTCTGTGTTCTTCCTTCCGCACGTGGGAACTCCTGCTACCGACAGCCCCGTCTTCGGGAGGGTCAGCCGAGGGACGCAGGGAAGAATATTGGGGTCAGAGCTGCCAGTTAACCTTTAGATTTCGTCTCCTGATTCATCAAGGGCCCCGGGCCTCCTCCTGCCGGAGGGGCGGGGCTGTGGAATAACAACGCCCCCCAGGGCCGTCTTTGTCGGCGACGGAGGGAGGAGGCCAGGTCAGGGCCAGGGCCGAATCAGTGCCAAGGCTGCCATCCCACAGGTGGACGGGCGCCAGGGCCCCTCTGCTGACAGGCCCGCGGTGGTACAGGCCCCGTCTCCTCCCAGTCCCTGACATCCGGATGCCGCTAACATGGTCCCTGCACTGCTGCTCCTTCCAGAACCCATGGCAGGCGGCGCCCTTGCTCTTGCAGCCAAGCGGCGAATCTCTGTGAGCCTGAGTGTCCTCGTGTGTGGACTGGGGATTGGATCGTGTTCGTAGCTGTCACAGCCAGGCGGTGAGTGCATTTGCACACGGAACGGGCTGCTTGACTGAGCTCATGCCGTCGGAGGTGCCCAGCGGCCCTGCATTCTCGGCAGTGGCCTCCAGTGCGTGATCTGGCTCATCGCCTCTGAAGGCAGCTGCCTACCTGTGTCCGTGTTGCAGACAGAGGACCTGGGAGATGGGGTGAAGGGGTAGGTTCAGGGTCACAGGTCGGGGAGGCAGAGCCGAGCTGGACCTGCGGCCCCTCCCGCATTCTCCATCTTCCTCTGTAGACTTGAGGGCTTCTCATTTGCACTTGGCTCCCCTGTCCCTGATCATCTCCAGGAAGCAACCTGGACTGCATCGTCTGCCTTAAACTGGCCCATCAGAGCCTCTTCTGGCCGCTATGCAGAAACTCCCCAGCAGCCCCTCTCTCACTCGCTGTGACCTGGCCAGCAGGCACTCACACGTGTACCTTTCCTCACACTCCCCCAGAGCGGGCTGTGGGGGACCCCACCCCTGTCCTGGGGCCTTCAGACTCATCTCTAACTCAGGACCAGCCTTCCCCCGGGCACTGCCTGGGGTTGGAACCCTTGTTCTCTCCAACCTTGTGGCTATGGTTGACTTTAATATCCTGTTTCTCAGCCCAGCCAGGGAGCTGACCATCCTGTGCCTGGATGCGGGTGCCTACACCAGTCCTGTGATTCAGTCCCTCGTCGTAGTGGAGGGAGGCTGGCAGCTGACCCAGCTCCTGTGACCTGCAGGATAGGGTCCACCAGGCTCCCGGCCCCGCCTGGAGCGGTCCCAGGCCCCTGGAGGGCTCCCCAGCGCCAGCTCCAGACAGTACTGCTGGGAAGCACCCGGCCTAGAGGACGGCTCTGTGTGCGTCTAAGTGGAGCCAGTCCTAATAATTAACGGTGGGGATAAATCGAGGTTTAATTACTTGGAAGGCCTTTCGGGTGAGAGATTCATGATAATCGCTGTTATCCTCCTGATGGCTCTGCTCAGTAGTTCCTCCCCAGGCAACCGTAAACCCTGGCAGCGGGGGGCAGGGGCGCGGGACTATACCCTGAATGGTCACTTAGGGCCATATTGGGGACAGTGGGCCTGGGGGTGCCGGCTCTCGTCTCACGAGTGACCTGGCCTCAGAGGTGGCTGGCAGGTAAAGCCCCGGGGCAATAGGATCCGGAATGTCCAGGTGGCTTCCTGCCTGCCTCCCTGTTTCTCGGTGCTGGCTCCTGCGGGGAAGGTGTCCAACTCCAGAAAGGACCCAGGCAGCAGCCTGGGAACAGATGGTCAGGATCGCTGGGTGGTGTGGCGGCCCAGGCCTTCACTTTGGGACCCACATCCTCAGCAGCAGCTACTCTTCAGGTTCTCGCCTAAGTCGCTGGAGCGTTGGGGCAGGTGCGCCCCTGAATCATGCCTAATCCTGCGGCTTCCTGGCAGTGATTGGGTGGCTCCAGGTGTCATTCTGCCGGCTGAGGGCTGGTCCCTCCTGGGCTGCTCGTAGTCTGGCTCTCAGAGTTACCGTTCTTAATGCAGTAACTTTATCATCACCACCACCAGAGGATCAGCCTTTATCAGCTCACCCCTCACTCTCGTTCTCTCATGCGTGCCACTGGAGGCTGGCTGGTGTGACACGGGGGCCTCCTGTGTCCCTGGGCAGCTGCCACTCCCGCCTGTACTCAGCCTCCTCCCTGCCCTGGCCACTCCTGGTTCCCCACCCCTCCGGCCGGGTGCTGCACTCACTGTCTCCTTCCCTCCCTTCCGCAGAGCTGAAGAAGCAGGTGGAGAGCGCCGAGCTGAAGAACCAGCGGCTCAAGGAGGTTTTCCAGACCAAGATCCAGGAGTTCCGCAAGGCCTGCTACACGCTCACCGGCTACCAGATCGACATCACCACAGAGAACCAGTACCGACTGACTTCGCTGTACGCCGAGCACCCGGGCGACTGCCTCATCTTCAAGGTGGGTCCTGTGTGCGACTGTTCTCTGGCTGTCTGTCTCCTCCCACAGGGAGATCTGACTGTAGCCCTCGGCAAAGGAGCAGCTCTGTGAAGGGGATGGTGTGGAGGGCCAGGCGGGAAGGAGGTGCACTGGGCTGCCCTGAGGCTTCACCCCCTGAGGCTTCTCAGCCTTGGGCCAACCCTATGTGGCTTTGCAGCCCTGGACCCTCTGGGTGTGGAAGGCCCTGGGCCACTCCCCCGACTTTCTCGGCCTCTGTCTGTCGCAACTTGGGCTTCGTTCCATAAGGGCTGTGGCCGCAGGCGTGTGTCAGTGTGTCCAGCGGCAGCAGCGCCTGGGGAGGACTGAAGTCCATGTGGGGCTGGGGCAGGGGTGCCTTCTAAGCCGCCAGGCTGCGCAGCGGGACAGCAGCCAGAGGCCAGCACAAGGCGAGGTAGACAGACTAGAAGAGGAAAGGAGAGCCGGGAGCCGGCCGCATATCCATACCCTCGTCCTGTGAGCCAGCAGGCGCTCTTCTGGTTTGCTGGTGCAGCAGGACTGGGTCCACCATTGTGGACATGAAGAGTCCTTGGGTGAGCAGGGTCTGGTAGCAGAAATCGGGGTGTTACATGTTGACCCTCAGGGTGGCGGTGGCCCCACGTGGACCTCCAGCAGCTGGAAACCCAGGGTGACAACGGCTTGTTCATCACTGCCCCAGTGAGCTAACCTCCCGTTTGTGAAAATGGTGCCGTCGGCCTGGCATGGCATTGTGGCCCCGGTGAGGCCTCACGGCCCCGTCTTGGCATGTGGCTGCTTCAGGAAGGTTGGAGGGGGCGGTGGCTGTGGGAGATCAGGACAGGCGGAGACGGGCCCCACCTGGGACTGCTATGGTCTGGAATGGGCGTCTAAACCGCCCGCAGTCTGCAGCCTCTGCGCATCTTTATAGAACCGAAAACCAACTTTGATTTGTACAAAAGTTGTACCCAGTGCGGCCTACGCGTGTCCGCCAGCCTCTCCCAGCAGCGAGCCGCTGCCTGTCTGATTCAGCCTTAGCCCGGCGGTTCCTCCTCCTCCTCCTGCACAACCCGCCTATCTTCACAGCCTGCGCTGCTCTGGGGCCCTGCGCCGGGCTTGCTCTGCGCTCCTTCTGGATTTCCCGCTTCTCAGATCACATTCATCCATTTCTACACACGTGAAAGTCTCAAACCTTTGAATAATAAAAACACACCAAGTCTTTAAATAAGCTATCAGAAATGTACTTCTTCGCTTTTGTATAATTCTGTATACTTTGAATAATTCACAGAGATGTTTAATGCATTATAGAAATTCCATGGGTTTTGAAAATGATTAGTATTAATAAAGGTGTATCACGAACCGTCATCACTTAACACATCACTTGTTACATCAACATTTACAAATTAAGAGGCGGCATTTCCCCGGATCCCTGCATGTGCTGTAGTTGAAGCAATGATCTTAGGAGGACCAACTCCAGCGGAACCTTGGGGCGCCCTCCACAGTGTTTTCTATTTAGAGTGTCGAAAATTCCAAAGAGGGACGCAAGCCAGTCGTCATCCTCCCGCGAAAGGCAGCCGCCGTCCCGCTTTGCTGTTTCCTTTTGGTGTTCTATACATAGGCACGTATGTAGGCATGTTCATTTACACCTGGGAACTCAGGATCCTGGGGTTCCATTGTGTGTGCTCCTGTGTTACTTTTAAAAAACCCCATTAGCAAGTAGTTCCTTGGCCCCTGTCAGCCCCGTGTGGGCTTCTGAAGCACACCCCTGCCTGGTGTCCTCAGGTTTGCTGGACACCAGGTCCATCCCCGTCATACCCTCGAGCACGGGCCCTGCCGCTCTCCCTGCTCAAGCCAGCATCTCAGCTCCCTCGGCCCTCATTCCGCCCCCCGGACCCCGGCCATGGCAGGATGTTGAGAGCAGAAGGCTTGGGCCGGCCTCAGCTTGCCAGTGGCCGGACCTTTAGCCCCCACAGCCTGGGCGGGACCTTCAGCCCCCGTGGCCTGTACGGGAACCCCTGCCCTCCTCCCTGCCTTGGAGCCCTCTTAGCCCCCAGGCTCCTGAGGTCAGGGAGAGGCAGGAAGGGGGCCCCGGGAGGAGGCAGGCAGGCAGCAGAGAGCCCAGGAGCTGGCCAGCTCGCTCCAGGCCTGAAGGACACACAGCGTACAGGAGGCCTGGCTTGCCCTGAGGAGCCGCGGCTCCTTCAGGGATCTGGCCTGGCCCCTGCAGCTCTTGCCAGGTGTCCCGCGTCCCTTCCTAGACCCTTGTGATCTGGAGCCTTGGCGCCCTCCCAGGCCACCCCCTCACTGCCCATCCTACAGCCCTTGCTGTCCCTTCTTTCCAGTGGTAGGCCTGGCCTGACCTGACTTTCTGGACCACAGCCTGTCCTGGCCCAAGGCCTGTGTGAATATGTCTTTGCAGGCCCTGTGAGGGCTGGCTGTGCTGGGTCAGGAGGCACGGAGCTGAGGCAGCCGCCTCCGGAAGGACAGACGGGCCACTGGCCCAGCACTCCACCAGCAAGGCCTGGTGCCCACAGTGGCCCTGCTCCCCACCCTCCTGGCTGCCCACCATGCCTGCTCTGGGCCCTGTCCCGGGGGCTCGCATGGGTGGACAGTGTCAGGGAATGAGGTTGCTTTCAGCTGACCTGCTTTCCCCGTGTATGACATGCACTGTGTTTTCATGCTTGAAGCTCACAGGATCGGGGAGATTAAGAAAAGGATGGAAGGGCTTTACAAGTTGGTATTTGCAGGCAGGGCTGAGAGCTCTGGGGTGGGCCTGGCAGGGGGATCTCTGGGCAACCCAGGCAGGGGGCTGACTGAGGTGAGCGTGTGGGCTGGTGCCCAAGCACAGCTGTTGCCAGCGGGGTGCCGGCTGGGCCTCTGGTCTGTAAGGCAGGCACAGTTACGTCTCACTCGCAGGAGTAAGTGGGGCCATGTTCCTGGCACACCGTCATGGTTGCCGAGACCCCACCTTGGTCCGTCATTTTCATTTCTGAGCAGTGAAGTCCCCGCAGGCAGAAGCTGCCAACTTGTGCCTGCGTTTCTCCCTGGAACCCCAGCACCAAGGCCCACCGGCTCCGTCCTCTTCACCTGGGCCCAGCTCGCTTGTAGACGCCTTCTCCAGGTAGCCCTCCTGGGTTCCTCAGACATGGGACCCCTTCTTCTGCTGGCTCCCCTCCTAGAACACCTGCCACCTTGTGCTTTTCCTGACAGGCAACTCTGCCAGAAGTTTTATTCTGTTGGGTTAGTTGTCCCTTGAGGGTCCCCGGGGGACCTAAGCATGCCCCTCCTGTGTTTCTCCCCCACTGCTGGGTGCCTGGTTTTTAAAGATGCTTCTTGCTCCATTTCTCTCCCAGGCTTCCTTTCATAGCCTCTTTCCCCTGGCCTCACCCAACCCCCACCCTCTCCTCCTGCTCTTCCTCCTCCCTCTCCACTCCTCCTCCCACTCCAGACTCTGTCCCGCCCAGCCCACGTGCCCTGCTGGCAGCTGTGCCCAGCACCCCACTCGCCCCCTCCCCTCTTTGGAGGGCTGGGGCCTCCCAGACCTTCCTGCGCCCCATCTGATTGACGTGGAGGGATCTCCTGCTGGAAGGATCTGGGCCTCTAGAGCATGTTCATGAGGGCTGACACTGGGCACACAGCCTCACCTCCCCGAGTCTCAGTCTCCTCACCTGTTGAATGGAAGTAACTGCGGCTCACTTCAGAGGCTGTAGGAGGCGAGTCTCATAAGTGTCACCTATAGAGCGGTCATGTTGCACCAGGATCCCTGTTGGCTGGTTCAGCTCCAGCCCACGGTGCACCCGTGCTTCTCACAGAGCTGTGATCCTGCAACCCTGCCTGCCATCCCCACAAGATAGCTCTGCTGGCCCTCGCTCGGCGTCCTGGTCCCTGCAGACCCTCTGGACGACCTGCAACGCTCGAGCTTTCAAAGACTCCCTGTGAGCCTACTTCCGGAGTCCTCCGAGCTGCCCTTCACTGGGTGAGGCCGTCGGCCTCCTGAGAAATCCTCCCCCTTGGGTGCCAAGAGCTGCCGAGTCCTCTGGCAGGAGCTCTGACCACGAGACCAGCGTCGGTCCTGCCCCAACCACCTGTCATTCCTGCCTCCTTTGTACCCAGGACACCAAGCTTGGTGACAGGAGAGGCACTCGTGCTGTTCACGGCTGCCCCACGCCCCCAGCTCAGGGCCTGGCTTATGGAGAGGGCGCTCTAGGGCTCTGCCAGATAGACAGAAAAACAGGTTTCGGGGGGAAAAAGGGAAGAGATAAACAGCGAACAGACAGCAGCCAACCTGTAGGGCCAGGGCTCATGTGGGCACCTCTGCCTGCAGATGGTCACTGACTCATCGGGGCCATGCAGGGGTAGCCCCGGTCTCCACTGTCCAGAGGAGAGAGAAGAGACACTCTGGAGTCACCTTGTCCTGGCCAGCTCCTGACCCTGGTGTGCAGCCTTGGCGAGGCCACTGCGCTCCCGTGAGACTCAGTTTCCCCGTCTCATGAGGAACGTGCTCTAGGTGCTCCCTGGGGGCCCTGACCCTGGCCTCCTGGCTTCAGAAAGGCACCCCCAGGGCACTGAGCATCACGAGGTGCACCCAGAAGGGTCTGCCCCAAGCTGCCCAGGATGGTCTGCCCCGAGCTGCCCTCCTGAGATAGGGCCACGGAGGGCAGAGGCCAGTGTGGGAGGTCAGGGAGAGCAGGGAGATAGGCCCCCCTGCCCCACCCTACCCCACCTGGGGGTGGGCATACGTGGCTCCTGTGTTCCTGAGAGATCTTGCCAAACCCCAGCCTCCTGGCCACATCATTCATTTTATCTGATTTTCCCCCAAATGATTCTTCAGGCAGAAAGGGGGCTGCAGACGGAGTTAGAAATAGCCAAGCCTGTTTCCAGTCGAGCGGGTTCCACAGATGTGTGCTGGGATAATTGAGGGTTTGCCACACCGTCCCCCGCCGCTTCGCCGAGGAGAATAGGGCTTCCCGTCCTAGCCAGGACCAAGCCTCTTGTTGCCGCGTGGGTGG